CCATGCACGGTTTCAGACTGCTTGACGCCAAGGTAAAAGTTCTGGCATACGCTGATCATGTAGCAGTGTGTTGTACCACCAAAGAAAGTGTACAAGAGACAGTTGCCGTTGTCAAAAATTTTGGAGAAATTACAGGAAGTCAGGTGAATTGGGGAAAGTGCCTGGGGCTTTGGCATGGAGATTGGACAACAATCCCAGATATATATGATAACGTACAATGGTTTAAAACTCCAGTAAAATACCTATGCGTGCCTTCCCAGCACTACAAAGACACCAATAACTACTAGACTGAACAAATAAAAGAAATGTGCGAAAGGACAGCGCAGTTGAACGGCAACTGTCTCTCAATGTTTGCCAGAGCCACTGTATACAACATATTTTTAATGAGCAAATTCTGGTATGTGATGCAGGTACTGTGTTGCTCACGAGTGCACGTGCAAAAGCTGCATAGAATATTTGCTGTGTTTGTATGGTGGTCCAATTGTGAAAGATTTGGTAGGACGAATCTTTTCCGAAGAGTTAAACAGGGGTGACTAAGCCTATCGCATGTGTTCGAGCGACAACTGCTTAATTGTTTTGTTTTCTTTCGAGATGTTCGACACCCCTTCTTGAGAACAGTATGGCAGTTATGCCTTTGTCGTGTTTTGCCTAACTTTGTGGTTAGCACTGCAAGCATGCACAGAGCCATGTGAGGTTTCTTTAAGGAAGTTGCGGATCCGCTTTTTGTCAGTTCGGTTTTCCAATGAATACCTGTTTTCGGTCGGGCAAAAGAAAGTGCATAAAGACATAAGCAACATTATTTTTCCGGTTCCTATGTATAAGTTAATTAATAGTGGGGGAGAGGGCAGTGATGTTCTTAAGCGTGTTAAGAAAACGCAAATTCAGCTAAGTTCAAACAGTTTTTTCTTTAAATTACACACGGGCACATTACCGGTTAAGACTTTTTTAGAAGATAGAGGATTTTATATGCCATGGGGTTCGAACTGTCTGTCGAAAGCCGGAGACAATAGATCACATTTTTTCGCATTGCTGGGAAGGGGTCTTCTTCTAGGATGTTTTACAGCGAACTCTAAAAAGGAAATTCCCTTAAATTCACTTGGTATCAGGTTTTTAACAGTAGAAAAAGAGGATGGGCTGACTTTTGATCTTATAATGCTGGTTGGCCTCCATTGGTTATGGCGGGATAGAATGGCCGGTTACTACTGTGACCCTGACAGGCGACCTGCACGCGTGCTTTTCAGCGAAAGCATTGCTCAATACATTGATATCCTCAAACAACAAGACTTTGTTTCGGAATGGCTCTTCAGGGTTGAACCCCTGGTAAACCTAAAGGAATTTAAGCACTGTAACCACTAATAGTTCTGTGACAGTCTTGTCATCGGTTCTGCTATGTATATTATTGTCCACAGCGACCTCTATTAATGTTTACACCAAATGCAAAACAGGTAATAAATAAAAAACCCTCGGTGGCTCAGTGGTTAACACCTCGCCTTCACGAAGTGGAGATCCCACGTTCGATTGCGCGCGCCGAAGTCTTTTTTGTGGATTTTTTTCTTTTTTTGCGTTTTCATATATACAGATACGTATACGGTGCATGACGCCGAAGGCAAAATCCAGCCGAGAGTGTCCATATAACTACTATCGCAATAATATTTGCGCAAGCACACGGGGCCACAGACACAAATATTTCAAGATGAATATGTTCCAACTAGGCCGAATTGCAGTTTTGTTTCCAGAGCCATTTTTCTTATAAAAATAGCATAAAATGCTATCTTACTAGTGCTATAGCCAGAACGTAAACCTTTGTAAGGAAGGGGGGGGGGGGGGTAGAGGCTAAACAGCCAGATGTTGCCTGGCACTTTACCCTGCTATTATGGTAAACAGTGATATGGTAAACAGTTTTTTCTATGAAGGAGCGTAAAGGAGTCACACACAATTTGAGCCACACCCTTGTTACCCCCTGGATTTTGATAATTGTGGAGAAACACATAGAACAAATAAGAAAAAAGAAAGTCAGTCCAATCTAGAAAGTGATGGTTATGAGAATGGTGCAAGAGCACGAGACACAAACGAAGAAAACACAAGGACCAGCACCATTCTTAACCATGAACCCACACCAACTTGCCCAACTATCAGTGCCACCTATAAATGGCATATTTAGGATTAGAGAATAATTGAACATAAAGAATGGGCACACATGTTCACAGTAGATGAGATAGATCAGATGCACACTCATGGCAGACACGCGTAGCAGGCACCACAAAGTATACGGTTGCTGTACAGATTCTTATCCTGTTTGGTTTAAATGGTGGCACACACACACAAAGTGGCTCTAAGAGAGAAAAGGAAGAGAAAAGTGAGCCCCGTAACTGTCTGCATCACGGTGCGACACCTCAACAGTAGCTCACAAGGGATGGGGGTGAGGAGGGATTCAAGGAATAGGACTAAAGGTATAGAGACAGAGAAAGATCCACTAAGCCAGTGAGCGAGGACATATCGAGGGAATAGGAGAGATGGGAAAGATAGAAACACGGTCACAGGCGTCCGAGGACAGGGCACCACTTGCGAGAGCTCTAGTCGGCGTCAGGAGATGACATAGGGCCAGCCCAGTCGGCCAGAGCTACGCTGACGTCGGAGATCGCGAGGGCACAACCAGTCGGTACGGAATCCAGCGAGCGAGTCCCCAAATGGTGACGTGCCTTACTGGAAAGATCATACAGTTCGCATAGATTTGGGCTGTCATGCATAAGCATAATGGAACGGAGTGACCGTAGATATTAATCAACATGAAGGTGTCAAGGCATGATGATTGCCAACTGAGCCAAGACAAAGCAGGCCCACAGTGCACTGGCAATCAAGCCTTGGTCTGGCTTCCTTGCCTGCTCTGGTGCTGCGCAAACTACACTTACGCCATTATATGGGACTATGCATACACGCTCGTACCGTTGGTGCAGTTACAACCTTTATGACATTAAATACAGGAGTATATCGTAGCACTCAGGCCTGTGGCTGGCACAACCCCTGACAGCACACTTATATCTACTGTCACCTACTCTCAAACAGAAATACCTGTGTCCTCTTTCACTACGTGTCTTATGAACACATGCATCTGTATGGAATAAATGCATAAAAAGGGGCTGCATGCTCAAGCCGACATTTCGATGAGTGGACGTGTCTTCTAGTTCCAGCCTTGAAGAAGAATTAACAAAACGTCAGCTGAAGCCTGCAACTCCTATTTATGGATTTTTTTCATTACAAGCTTCCATCATCTATATGCTCAGATGGAGTTATTATTGCAGCGTACCAAACACAATTGAGTACTACCAAGGATTGGGGGGTGGCTAAACATAAAGAGTTAGCACAACAATCACACAACAGAGTTCTTTGCCTTTGCCAGATAGCATGCACTGCCATGTCCACTTTCGAAAGTAAAGCTCGTGACTGTTCACAGGCTCTTCCAGAACCGTTAATTTCAGACTTACCACCACACTCAAAAGATAACCTTCAGTTGCATCAGTCACAATTCAGGCTGATTATTATTATATTCATGCAAAAATCAATTTTTCTTAATTTCAGAGTTAGAGGCAGATTACACGAGAATATTAAAATGAAAACCATACTTTTTTTGTTTTCTATTTTAAGCATGGACCTCAGAACAGATATGCCAGCATGTCACACACTTCGATGTAATTTCTTGTACTTAGACAGCTTAAACATTCTTAAGCTCAGTATTTACATGTTTTGGAATATAATGGTGAGCACTTTTACCAATGATTAACCTTCTATTACATGGCGTCTCATATTTGGCACATACCCTTTATAATTTTTTTGCAGGTGTGGGCTTCCTACTTGAGAATGCGATACCATTGATGGACAAGTAATTCCATATTTCTCGAGCGATGAGCAAAACAGAGGAAAGTGTATTTGGGGATGTGACATGCAACTCAAAGGGGGCAAACACAAGACATATGTATTTTTTTTTTCCTAGTAACGTTTTCACCACTATTGCATTCGGCGAGCCACCTTTTTGCCATGGCCGGCGGAACGGAAGAAAGGCTGCCGCCTCATTTTGTGGAGATGAGAAGCAGCGCGAAGACACCCTGCTGTTTTGGTGTACTAGGCGGTGCGTGGTTGAAATTAATCGACGGAGCACTGCTGTCCTTGGGGTCGGTCAACGCGGTGATGCGACACGTGGTGTCTTTGTGCCCCAGGAAAACCCACAACACCGAGTTTCCGGCGAGTTTCTGCCGAAAACGGACGTTGGACCACCACGCTGTGCGTTTCTGACTAATGAATCGCCGTCGCTCAAATCAGTACCAGATGTCCAGGTATTGACCCTCGGAGGCTTTTAGCCCGCGACCGCCATTCGACAAAGCATGGATGGTCGGCCCGAGCAGTGAAATGACAGACGTATTTCACCCCACTTGCTCTAAGCAAGATTCACCAGAGGAGGAAGCATCGCCGGGACCATACACATGTTTGGTTTGTGTATGTTGAGGGCGGTGCCGGCATAATGACCCTTGTGTGTGCTGTGGACAGTGCAGTATGGACCTATAAATATCGGCCCTCGCAGGCTCCTCAGTGCTTGTTCAATGGAGAGCCTTTCAATCCAGAGCTTTGGGCCAGAGTGCTCTTGCCATGTAAATAATGTAAATAAACCCTCTGTGTAAAGTTAAACTTCCTCCTGCCTCGGCATCTTCATCATGGATCTCCGGTGCCTGGAAACCCCGGTCGCAACACCACACATAAAAAATGTATATATTCTGGGATACTTTATGGTCTCATAAATTCAAGCCCATTATGAGCTCTCAAAAGTTTCTCCGCAACTACTGCAGAGATACAGCAGAGAGCCTGAAATCGGTGGGTGCCAAATTTGGCACTGTATGAACTTGAATGGCACCATAATACCAATTTTGTCTTTCAAGTACATATACTGCCAAATTTGGTATCATGGTGCCATTTGTCCAGTAAAATGCAAAACAAATACATGTAATGTGTAGCCTTCGAGCTTCGGTTATTTAATTTCCTCCGCAGCTGCAGCTCAGCACCGCTAACTAGCATTTACCATGTTGCAGATAGTAGGGAATTGCGCGGGAAGGGATATAGGAGTTATGTGTGAAGGTGTAGCATGGCAGCGCCATGAATGCGTCCACATTATCACTAGGTCACTCCATCACAAGATGAAGTCAAAGTGGTAGGTGTTCTGTGAAGAAGTTTTGTCGCTCGGTACAGTGAAGGCGCATCGTCTATCAAACTGCCTCCTGAAAAGCAAAGAGGAACTGAAATGTAAATAATGTGGTGTTTCACAGAAACACACAATCACAATAGATGATGTGGAGTTATTGTGTGTGCATTGGTACGATAACCGCACTGCGACATTTCTTTCGTGCTTTGTTGGGAAGGATCCAGTTCAAAAGACTAAGCGCTGAGTTACCTTAGCCAAAGGGTTTTGTTAAAATGATTGCCCCAACGTAGTAAAAGTCTCAAACAGACCCATGTGTGGGGTTGACCTGCTGGACTCCCTGTTTGGGCTTAACCGAATACATATCAGGTCGAAGAAGTGGCACTTTCGAATTTTACGCACATGCTAGACTTATTAGTAGTAGCAGCATGGCTATTGAACAGGAGGCTGCAAAAGCATCTTTTAAAGAAGGAAGTACTACCGCTGGCTCAATTCAAAACAGATATCGCAGAATGCCTTACGTCGCACAACAAGTGCCTACCCTAAAAATTACCAGGAAGGCCTTCTAGCGAAGACATCAAATTCCAGGTTCAATACAAAGAAGCCCAGTGACCAGCTGCCACAATGCCCCCCGTTAAAGACGTTCGATCTGACCGAGGTGGCCACTGGCCAGAACATGATGAGGATAGACAAAGATGTAAGCGGCCATCTTGCACAAAGAAGTCGTCAGCAAAGTGCACGAAGTGCAATATTCATCTGTGCCTGAATGCAGCAAACAACTGTTTCATTTTATTCTATACATCACGCAAAAAAACACCTTCCACGATGCTATATTTTTCGCCTATGGCAGCAAGACCACTCTGCCATCTTCATGGCAAGCCATATTTGGCACCAAGCTGTATTTTTATTATTACAGCCGTTATAACTCTGAAACTTTTTGTACACTTCTAGGTTCATTCAATGAATAATAAAAGCTGAAAAAATAATTTTTAAAATGGCTTTTTCACAATTCATAGAATAGAGGGTTAACTAAGCTACTAACTAGGCCCAAGCTAGGCCGATCAATATTCGTGGCATCAAAGCAAGGGGGCATAGAAACTTCCTAGGTGGCATCACTGCCCATGCTTTGTTTTTCACCTTTTCTCTGGATTATAAAGCCTTTTTCTAAAGTAGGAGTACATTTCCTAATGTTTTTTAAGCCTAGCTAACTAATGAAACTCAGTTTATTTTTATCTTTAGTAAAAGTAACTCAATGAAAATGTAGCTTTATTTTAGGTCGGCAAAACTTGAGGAGCTCACTCAAATTCACTCATTAAATATATTTCGACCTAAATTCACGAAAATTTTCCTGAGCCGGACTCACACTCACGAAAACTTTCTTCAACCAGACTCACTCGGACACAAACTCACCAAACATTACTCAACCAGACTCAGACTCGCAGCTCTATGTGAGCCTGGGTGAGTCGACTCATGAGTCAATTAGTCTAGAATTAGTAGCTTATTCAACCATGGTGTCAATGCTCTTTAACACCAATATCTCAAGTAATCGGTGCTCTTCTTGGTGCTGTTTGACATGGTATTTTCGACGATTTCTAAGAGCTTTAATACCATTCATTTTTCTTGGAAGAGATGAAAGCATAAGTTATATTTATCAAGAACCTTCTTGGAATAGTTGGTGGAGGGGGCGGTCAAGGCATCCTCCACCCTATGCAGTTCACGCCTCCGATCAATAAATATTTAAATCATGTATGGACGCTGCTTAGGAATACCTATGAGTAGATGTGAGTATATACGTGAATCCAGGCAAGGCTGATAGTAATGATGAAGATTACTAGATAGGACCTTAAGTTGGAAAAAGAAAGTGGAACTCACTCAGACTCACTGAAGAAATATATATCACGCTTTGGACTCACTCAGACTCGCCAAAATTTTCTTGAGCTGGAATCACTCACGCTCACGAAATTTTCTTCAACTTGACTCAATCAGACTCACAAAAATATTACTCATCTTGACTCACCCAGACTCATGGCTTGATCCGAGTCCGAGTGAGTCGACTCAGGAGTGAGTGCATCGACATATGCTCATAAATATACAGTAAAAATTAGTTTGTAGACACCCTAAAGTATAAACCTGCTACTTTATGTGGACTCAGTGTGATGTTACATTACCGAAAAAAAAAAATTTGTTTTCGGGAAACAAAAAGAGCACAAGTATCCTAACAATTGACCAGTTGCAAAAATCTGCATGGCAGCTTTTCTGCAAGGTTGTTTCCCAACCAAAAGCTCTCGTTCACAAACTGATTTTCTCACTCATTGTGTTTTTGCCTTCCCGCCATCCCTCACCCCCTTCTTTACGAACGACAAGTGCCTCATCGGTCACGTGATCCGAGGGTTCGATTGAGGCGGGACAACCCCACAATAATTGTTGGTGGGAAAAGTCGTTCTGTCGTACTCTTATGCCTTTTTTACTAGGATTAGGAGCAGTAAAAGCACAGTGAGCAAGAAAAACAGTCTGAGCACGAGAGCTCTTGGTGTGAAAATGACCTTGCAGGAAAGTCGCCTTGCAGATTTTTGCGATCGGTCAATTCATGAAGTTTTTGACCAAAAGCAATACAGAAGCTATGAGACACCCCATAATATAAGGGACTAGGGTAATATCGACTACCCAGATTGCTCTAACATGCACCTTAATCAAAGTTAACAAGCCTGTTTATTTTGTCACAATGGGGATGCGGCTGCCATAGTCAAAAACTGAACCAGTAGCCTAGTGCTCAGCAGCAGAATTCCCTCACCACCGAGTCAGGGAAGAAAGATGTACTACCGCAGGCTCAATTCACAACAGAAATTGCAGAATGCCTCACTTTGCACAACAAGTGCCTACCCTAAAAGCGACCAGGAAGGCCTTGTAGTGAAGACATCAAACTCCAGGTTCAAGCCAAAGAAGCCAGACCGACTTCTTTGGCTTGAACCTGAATAGGCAAGGTGGACGATTAGCGGCAGGGCGCTAAGGTGCATAATACCAGGTGCACAGGGATCAATCACAACCGGGGACTAGACAGCATATTGCTACATCCTTGGGCATGATGACCATGAAACATGTTAATTATTATAATTATCCACAAAATTTCAATAGAAAAAGACAGCTGTCTTTTTTGACTGATGTGTATAAGGCCCTTCTGTCAAGTTTAGTAAACCACTACATTGAAGAAATGCATTAACTTCATTAAGTGCACAGGCACAAGAAAAAGGAGGTAAGAAAAGTCTATATAATATCTGGGGTTTTGAATACAAAAAACAACATTTCACCACCTGGTGTTCTTTAACGTGTGCTGCATCGCACAGCACAAGGGCCTGAGAGAAAGTCTGAGCTGTATACATCCCTAAGGGATTCCACTGTTGCTGTTGAATGATACAAACAAATTTACTATAAGTCGATGGGACTTAAGTAGGTCAATGAATATAAGTTGGCACTACATACAAACACACCCTTACAAGAAAGAAATAAAGATGCACTCGTCTGCCGAGCTCAGCTTCAATGGCCACCCGAGGTGCTTTTGCTTTCAACTTCAGCAGTACACGCAGAGTTCCACTATCGTATTTAACCAAATACCTGCAAGTAATATTGCGTCAAGATTATTTTGTCACATACAAAATATAATAAAATCAGCAGTGATATGCTCCTTTTTTTTCTAAATTTATAGTGAAAAATGCAGTGTTACTGGTTCTGACCAAAGGCTTCTTTCACTTTACTATGTACAAATAATTTTTTATTAAAAAAAAAACTATGTATGAGTACACTGCACATTGTATTCCTGCAGAACTTTAAAAAATGAGGTAGGCTTGATTTACACAAACTAAAGTAGACCAAGACTTGGGAATGTATAACTTTTACACAATGATATCAGAATAATTTATATTTTTGTCAATTGAAGCAGCCACAATTTTTCAAAAGTCACTTATTTGACAGACTGGAAGCAGTCAAATCAATGCCGGTTCCAAACGTTTGTATAGCTTTTATAGTCAATCTATTACAAAGACTAAAAACCTCAGCTAACCAATGTCTTTAGAATCTTAGAATCATGCTGCAATGCATGGTTTTTAAAAAGAAAGCCTGTCCCGGCCCCAAACAACAATAATATGAGAGAAGAAAAATACCAGTTCTTGAGCTCACATCTTTCTGTTTTGCAATTTATAGTGACAGACAAATCACTACATAAAAAGGCAAAGCGCAATACTCGTCGTTGATGATATGCATGCGCACGGGGACAGCCTGCTCCCCCACATAAGAAGCACCTTCGCCCCCCCCCCCCCTCTTTTTTTTTTTGTCGGGGAACCCAGCGCACGCGCCGTTGATAAAAACTTCATGACCGAAATGTGTCAGTTCTGAACAAGCACGCGCTGCAAACTTACAATTCAATGCGCCTGCCCCGCTTTAGGACAAAATAAACATATAGTAGGGCGCCAGTTGTTGACACAAGCTCATCTACGTCAATCAGCATAGGCGTGCGCAGGGTTCCCCTTTGGGAGGGGGGGCAAAGGTTTATCGCAGAGCCCCCCCCCCTTATCATGTTAATGTATGGGAGTACAGGGCTCGGTTTGCCCCCCTCTCCCCCCCCCCCCCCTTCCGTGCTCACGCCTATGTCAATCGGCACGCAGTTGACATAGAAAATGAACACAATCACTCGACGAGAATTTGTCTCAGCGCCAATCGTGAAACTTCAAAATTCAGTCAGTCGAGCAGTTCAGCAATAATATACTAGCATGCTACACTTTTACAAAAGAGAGAAAACACTGTTACTGCGACAGCGAACGCGGGCACCGGCACACCCTCGCATTAGTTCCACGATTTAACCCACATATTAGTAACTAACAGACCAGAAACCAAGTCAGTACATGAGACGCGCAAACACGGATTTCCATCTCATCGGTACCATTCAATCATGTTGATCACACAGCGTTCCTCCGTGTATGACAACGGTGTGACGTCAGGTATTCCCCAAATGCAGGTGCGCGGAAGGTGTGATTAGGCTACGGCTGTACTACGGGATCTGGCTTCTGTTTATGTCGCACCCATATTGTGTCATTTCGCCGTATTTGGGAAGGGGTTTTATTTACATTCTTTAACACACATTGAATGTGACATTACGGTATTTCGCATCGTAAAATTATTTTATTGTGCGTTGTTTTTTGACAAATCTTGAACGTGATAGCTTTTTCTCATTTTAATAGCAGCTTAGAACGGAGGAACTATTTTTTTGGACGCGCGTGGCGCATGTGGCGCAAGGCCGCGTTCCAAAACAAAGATTGAGCGTGTTTGTGAGCGTGCGACACGAAGTGTGTTCGTCCTGCTCTTCGTCTTCATTAAGGCCTCGGCTGTAACCCTGGACGAGTCGCAGCGAGCTCGAACGATGCCAAGGAATGGCAACATCCTCGCCGTGGATAGTGTCGTGTCGCCGGAGGCGTCGAATGTGATGGGAAAAGCGGACGACGTCAATGAAGATCTGGCGTTGGCCATCAAAGAAAACCTAAAGCTCAAGTCGCACGAACAGCCGTGCCACGTTTGTCATCAACAGCGTCATCCCCGGTACTCCCCGTATTTTGTGCCTCGTCGGTCGGAAAGCAGCGGTGCGCTGTCTGCCGCGGCGAAAGATGGAACACGGAAGATCTGCGCTGCCGGCCACCACCACCAGCCGGAGGATACCGACAAGGACCCTTACGAACTTTTGCAGGAACTCCTTCGGCAGGGTACGCTCATCCAAGAAGCTGTGCGAAGGCTTCAGGGCAACGTGGCGGGCAAGAAAAAGACTTCACACTCCTTAGACAGCTCGTCGAGGGACTCGTTTTCATTTTAGGTTCGCATTCAAATGCAAATTTTGCATCACATCACGGACTTTAGCAATTTCTTCCTGCCCATCATGACGAACGCTGAGCGCGTGGCCGGCTGAACGTTTTTCCCACGTGCGCGCTTCCCTGCGTTACTCTGCCTCTGTTTTCGATAAGCGATATGCTTTCGAGTTGTTCGGTCCCCGCGTGCGCTGTGCGATCGGGAAACCCTTTGTCTTAATAAATCGGGACTTGGTTCCGTGTTCTCCGTGTAAAGTGTGTTTGACATTGTGTGTGTCGGTCCATTTCGTTGATTCTCGGGCCAGATATGAGGTACGTACGCCGCATCATTTGCCTTAAAGTAGGCCCTGCGATTCTTGCAGCCGTTACAGCGTCCATACCGGAAAATTCCATTTTGTGTCGGTTGAACGGGAAGGACGCGGCTACAACGCCGCTGCTAAACACTGTGTTGTCACAGATTTTGCATTTGAAGTGCTGTCTCCTCGCTGACCGATACATTGTACAGATTTCGCTGCGGGAAAACAGCAGTTGTGTGTTGAAATTAAGGGGCATTTCTTTTCGGTGCAAACGTGTAGCTCATAGCCGTGCATATGCCGCTCACAACCCACAGCCACCTCAGCTTCATTCTAAATCGGTTGAAACTTGATCGCTTGTTTAGATATTTAACATATGGCAAAAAACGTAAGCCGAGTGAGTAATATAAATTAAGTGGAGCAGGCGGCTGTAGGCGGCTGGTGTTCTTGTTTATTTTTCTGGCATACAAACGCCTGCAACCTATCTCAACATTTTGCCACAATGTCACGTGACTGGTTTGGCGAATCTCCTTGCGTCATTTCACTTCCCTCTGTTGCTGTGTGTTAGGCCTACTCAGTGTTTTGGCTGGTGTGTCTTGCGGCGTCTGTGGCTGCCTACTATTGCGAAACTAGGTTCTGAAGTGTGTTTTGCGGTGGACGTGGACAACAAGAAGTGCTAGTCATGGCGTTACCAATTTGAAGTTTGTTTGGTTTAGTTTCATGAGCAGTGCGAAATACTTTTTTCGAGCGTCTGGCTCTCTCGTTTGTTTGGGGTAAGTAGTTTGGTTTCATGTTTACTTGTTTCTGTACTGAAGGTTAGCGTACCGTTAGTTTTGTGGAAACAGTTGTGCTATCATTTCATTGCGTTGTTTTTGAAGGCAGCAGCCTTTTTGTACCTGTGTGTCTTTCGTTCCGGTGTCATCCACCTTTCATATAAATGTGATTCAAGGTTACCCCCCCCCCCCTTCCCTTCAGAAAAAGAAATGAAAAGGTGGGTGGAGGATGCGTAACGGAACACTTGGCAAGCTTTTATACCGGTACCTGCAAGTACCGTCATAAAGAGAAATGTGGATTGCGTCTTCTGTATGTAATTATTTCTACCCGCTGCTTCAGGTTGTCTGCGTTGTGGATTTATAAAATAATCAAGAAAGCGCATTCAGTGCGGTATTCAATGGTCTGTGACTTAAGCGTATATTCAGAACTTTTGAAATTGAACCATTGCTTGCAAAATAAATTGTACAATGGGGAAGAAATTTGTGCACGCATGAGTTGGACATTGTGCTGCGATCTACTGTTCCCGTTATGTGTAGCTTGCACCATTGTCACTAGAGTGCTCGCCCCTTTCAGTCAACGAATCTTACGCGATTTGTTTGAACGCCTTTTGTTTCTGCAACAATTCGTTCAGGGCAGGTACGTAATGCAGAGCCACATGTTCTCTAACGTAGCGCATTGACGCAGTGCGTTAAATGTGCTGAATTGATGTTACGCTGTTAGCTGCTGTGTCCCCAAATATCTTGCACGCGTTGCATACGGTGTCCAGGAGCATTTATGGCATAACTGATAAGTTGTTTGGTGTTATGGTTTTTTAATATGGATATGCACTGTACGACACTGCAAGCTTGTGACAAAGAAACATTGCCGCTGCTGCTGTGCTTTTTCACTTTATCTGCTTAAGTTCTCTATGAAGCATCAGGTGTTCAACGAGGCTATTTTTAAAAATGTTTACAAATACATACCTACATACACGCAGCTGCAGTTGTTTTGCTATTTTCTTTTGAATCCTAGGGTGACTTTCACTGTCCAAAGATGTCGAGTGATGCAGAAACTGCCCAACAGTCTGCTGCAGCTGATGGCTTAGACATTGACAACTGTGCAACATCTAAAAGTGAGGCAGTGCCCCCTCAAGGACCAGCGCATGAGATGTCACGGTACCATATATCAAAACAAGACAGAGAATCTCTGAGCAGCGTGAGCAGTGACTCTGGTGATGTTTCCAATGGCCACTGCTGCGACATTGAAGAAGAAGGCATAGTAGTCATCCCCGAGTATAATACCCCCATTATTGGCTACGAAGTCATGGAAGAACGTGCAAGATTTACAGTAAGTCCCTCCTCACTGTTTATGCTATTTGGGCTTATTCTGTACACTGTCGTCCTTTATGAAAGGGAACATGCGGACGCGTGGCCTGCGCTCTGCAGCAGCTGCTTACAGCTCCATCAACCGACAGCAAAAGGAAACGCGTTCGCTTTCAGCGTCATCCGCTATGAAAAAAACTAATAACGAGTTATGGCGGGTAGACAAGCACTGCTAGACTGCACTCTCTCTCTCCTCACACCTGCAGTGCGTAGTCCACTGCCAACATATCAAACCAGGGAATGTAATATAGCAGCGCTTGTCTACCGGCCATAACTTATCATCTTGTTTGGCCATAGATGACGCGAAAAGCGATCGTGCTTTCTTCAATTGTCAGTTGATAGTGCTGTAGGCAGCCGCCGCAGAGCGCAGGACACGCGTCCACGTGTTCCCTTTTGTAAAGAACGACAGTGTACACGATTACATGCCCCCTTTTTTTGTTATACCAATGATGGGAGTACTACTAGTGATGAATGAATGGGCACTTGTTGTAGCACTTGATAGCACGATAATGATAAACAGCACATTTTGCAGAAGTCTTGTTTCAGCGTTGTAGGTAGTGAGCTAAAAATCGCGGTGGATGCAAGTAATAAAAGCATGCACCTGTGCCTGAAGTGAACCCAGGCCTTTTTCTTCTGTGTGAAAAGCACTTATTCTACTGCAGAGCCATGGCATTGCTGAAGACTGTTTTAGAATATAGGAGGTATCGTACCGTGAACAGTCATTTAGATGTGTATTATAGTATTGCGTGGCAGAAGCGTACTATTGTACCATATATCAGACCGTGTGAATTGTGCAACAAGTTGGTGGTTTAAGAGGGTAATGGTAGTGTTTCAACTATATATCTTCAGAACTGTTCCATATTTTGTCTTGAAATTTAGTGTGCTTTATATGAGAGCTAGTGGCCTTCAGGCTGTTAAATTTTGACCCTGTAGATTTTGTTACTCGCTTCTAGTGGAGCACAATATTTCAGACTGGGGCACAAAATTCAATGTCATTGTCATCATCAGCCTGACTACGTCCACTGCAGGGCAAAGGCCTCTCCTATAGTTCGTCAATCAACTCGGTCTTGTGCTTTCTGCTGCCACATTATGCTTGCGAACTTTTTCATCTCATTGGCTCGCCTAACTTTGTCTCTCCTTCGTGCATTTGTCTTCTCTGGGAATCCAGTCAGTTACATTTAATGACCAGCGGTTATCCTGCCTGCCTACCTGCCCGGCCCATGTCCATTTCTTCTTGATTTGAGTTATCACATCCCAAACCCCGGTTTGTTCCCTCGCTCACTTTGCTCTCTTCTTGACTCTTGAGATTACACCTATCATTTTTCTTTCGCTCACTTGCATCGTCCTCAGATTAAGCCGAATTCTCTTTGTAAGCCTCCAGGTTTCTGCTCCGTAGGTAAGTACCTGCAAGATGCAGCTGTTATATACCTTCCTCTTGAGGGTTAGTGGCACATTATCATTCATGATTTGAGAATGCGTGTGGAATGTGATTCACCTCATTTTTATTATTCTAGTTATTTCACCCTCATGGTTCGGCTCCATGGTTACAACCTGTCTTAAGTAGACATATTCTTTTAAAACTTACAACATCTCTCCACCTATCGCAAAGTGTGGTTTTCTCCCTAGACTGTTGCACATTACTTTAGCTTTGTGCATATTAGTTTTCAGATCTACTGTTCTGCTTTCCGGGTCCAGTTCAAAAATCATGAGCTGTAATTCGTCCGCTGATTTACTTATCAAGGCAATGTCATCAGCAAATCGCAGGTTACTAAGATACTCTCCATTAACTTTTATCCCTAACTCTTTCCAATGTAGGGCACTGAAAACTTCCTGTAAACACACGGTAAATAGCATTGTAGAAATCGTGTCTCCCTGCCTTCCACCCTTCTTTATTTTGGATTCTGTCGTTTTATTTATGGAGAGCTGTGGTGGCTGTGGATCCACTGTAGATTTTTTCCAGTATGTTAATGTAGGGTTCGTCTATGCCCTGATTCCGTAGTGTCTGCATTACTGCTGACGTCTCGACTGAGTCAAATATATGAAGGCTATGTATTGAGGTTGGTTGTATTCCTTGAATTTCTGTATTACCTGATTGATAGTACGAATATGGTTTATTGTGGAGCAGCTTGTGCGAAGTCCTGCTTGATCCTTTGGTTGATTGAACTCTAATGTCGTGTTAATTTTATTAGCTATTATTTTTTGTATATAGTTTGTAGAGATCAGACAGTAAGCTGACCGGCCTGTAATTTTTCAAGTTCTTGACATCTTTCCTATGGATTAAGATGATGTTGGCGTTCTTCTGAGATTCTGGTACCCTTCTTGTCAAGACACACTTCGTATATAATATGGCCAGTTTTTCGAACACCATTTTTCTGCCATCTTTCAGGAGGTCTGTTGTTACCTTATCCTCACCTGTGGTTCTGCCTCTTTGCATTCCCAATAGGGCTTTCCTTACTTTCCCTGTTGTTACTGGTAGGATGTCGAAGTCCTCTGGGCTATTATTGCTTCTTACGATATCATCCTGGTTGTTTCAGCTTCTGTACAGCTCTCTGCAGAACTCCTCCGCCACCTCAACTATCCTATCCAGATTGGTTATGACATAGCCTACCTTGTTCCTCAATGCATACATCTGATTTTTGCCTATTCACAAGTTTGCCTTCGTAGCTTCTAGGCTTCTGCCGCTTTTTACAGCCTGCTCAATTCTCTTCATATTGTACCTTATGATGTCGGCTGCCTTAAGCCTATTGATTAACTTCGAATGCTCCACGATCACTATTTTGTCGGTTGCATTGGTGGCTTATATGGTCTGTCGTCTCTTAATCAGATTTTTCGTCTCCTGAGATAGTTTGCCAGTGTCAGTTTGCCAGTGTCCTGTCTAGTGACTGAGCCTCCAACTTCAATTCCACACTCTTTGATGATACTAGTAAGATTATCGCATATATTGTGTCAACACTAACGTTGGTTACCTCGTTTAGTGCTTCGAATCTATTCTGAAGCGAAACTCTGAATTCCTGTACTTTCCCTCTCACCGCTAGTTCATGAATTTGCTTCTTGCGTATCAGTCTTAGTCTTTGGTTTTTTCAATATAGGCAAACACGAGCTCTTACATCTATGGTCACTGTGTCGGATCTTGCCCACTACTTCTACATCCTGTACAATGCCTGGGTGTGCACACAGAATGAAGAATATTTCATTTTTAGTTTCGCCATTAAGACTTCACCGCATCCACTTTCGGTTAGTCCGTTTTTTTGAAGAAGGTATTCGAGATCCATAAATTATTACGTTCTGCGAACTCTACTAATAACTCCCCTGTGGCATTTCTAAAGCCGACGCTATATTCCCCCACTGCATGGTCTCCGGCCTGTTTCTTGCCTTCTTTGGCATTAAAGTCGCCAGTCAGAATAGTATACTGTGTCTTTAATATTGGCTGACTCTACGTCTTCATAGAAGTGTTCAACCAAATGATCATGATGGCTAGATGTAACCGCATAGGCCTGTATCATCTTGTACCTTTTTTAAAACTTAATTAGGATACTTGCCACCCTCTCACTGATGCTATAGTATTCCTCTATGGTGCCAACGATATTTTTGTGTATAAGAAACTGCACCCGTAGTTCTTTTTTGTGAACTAATTCACGGTAGCATAGGACGTGTCCATTCTTCAGCACTGTATAAGCCTCACGTGTCCTCCTAACTTTGCTGAGCCTTCTTACATCCCATTGCACACCCTCTAATTCCTGGAATAGCACAGCTAGACTAGCCTCTCTAGATAACGTTCTAGCTGTGAACGTAGCAAAGTTTAGATTCGTTCTAGTGGTGAACGTAGCCAAGTTTACATTCCAATGGCGGTTGGTCCGAACCCAGAAATTCTTAACACACTCAGCTGCGTCGCAGGTCTGACCGCCGCCTTGGATAGTTGCTTCGTAGCCATTGGGAACTGAGGGCCAACAGTTCATTGCTGTATTTATGGGAGGTAGCAGTTGTCCAATCCGGCTCTGGTGAGGAAGTGCATTACCGACAAGTGGTTGCCAGTGAGCACGCACCCCAGACCTCTTCCTCTTTTTCTTTTTAATGATTCTTTTGTCATGCATTTTAAGTAAGCATACGATTGGGAATGGTCCGGCATTTGCATTGGAATAGAATTTTGTCATTGCTTGCTAAGCTGCTGGGCTATCTCTTGGAGGGTTCTGTTGCACTTTCTGTGCACTGTAGAATACCACCTAACAGCCTAGCAGCTCTCAACTTCACATGACTCGTAGCTTGCCTGGCCTTTTCTTAACTGTTTGAAAGTCCATGTTTTCATTATATAGTATTCAAAAAAAACTGCGCGGTTTCGAACTTCTGACCTTGCGAGCTTAGGCCGGCTTAGTGCTTTGAATGACCCTCCTCCTCGCGCGTTTATTCTCTTTAAACTTCATTTTCGATATTTAACCGACCTAGCTATAGTTATTACTTGAAAAATACATGCACACAGAAACAATGAAGTAAAACAGCCCGAATATCTGTTAGGAGACTTGGTCTCTGGAAGGATTTTTAAAGGGCATGGAGCGCCCCAACGCACTCGTCAATGCATGGTTTTGCTTCTCATCGTGTGTAATATTTTTAGTAGCGAAATGAAAAACCCCCGCAATTTTGGTGGATCTACCCTACCATTCTGGCAAAAACTGTTCATGCATAATTATTCATCAGCCAACAAAGTGCCCTGATTTGTGCATATTCCTTTAGAGTCGCAGTGGGTACTTTGCAAAATGATGAATTATGACATAGTGGGCACTTCAGCTCTACTTGCTCTGGGCATTCTAGGATTGTTAGAAACGGCGAATGCTTTATTGCCACATGGTTTCATGTGAAAGAATACGAAGAAGTTCGGGACTGAGCCGCTTCTTGGCCTAGCTCAACGAGCAGGACAACCCAAGGTTGTCTTGAGGTGAAGTCATAGTTGCTCTGCCGATAAGCGGTTCTGTTGTTTCTGGTGGTAGGCCTTGTTGGCGGCGGCTTGCTCTGTGAACTGGTGTATTCACGGGCACAGGGCTTGTGTTTCGGCTCCTGGGTGGGCCCTGCGCCACGAGTCGTCGCACCCAGCACCCCCACCAATCTTGTCACGCTCAAGGCAACCTTGCATTGTCCTGCTCGTTGAGCTAGGCCAAGAAGTGGCTCAGTATCGAACTTCTTCATCTTTTCCCACGTGAAACCATGCGTCATTATGTTGCTTTCCTCACAGTACGATTAGGGTGTCTATTGAGAATTGAAGCTGCGCTTGCTAATCAGAAGACTGCACTAATGGGGAGCTATTACACTACTGCGGGCTGCTCTTGAAGGTGAAGCACGTTTCCTCCCAAGTTTTTTTGAGATGCAGGTTTAATACTGCTCACATTAAGATTTATTTGTGCCTCAGCACCTTCTGGGCATCTTCTTGGTGGTGTAACTTTCATGATGTAAAAATGAATTGCAATATTTTTCAAATCAGATTGTGGTATAGGCAAGTGACAATGCAGTGAATCAGTCCTCTCTGCCCTATCCTATGGGGTGTTTACTATCGCTAGATAAAGTATGCTTTTTTACGCTTTTGCATTATCACAGTATAACTTTTAGCACAGTCCATTTATGCAGTTCTTGACCTAATAGTTCATGGATTTTTAGATCTTTTTATGTGGGATGCCCCAGTTAAGTTAAGCCAGGCTTTTAAAAAAATGCTAGCAAAAACTTGTGCATTGTATGGTTATTTTATGTCCGCTTTCATCAAATATGCTATGTTTACGCATTAGGCTCACTTGGTTATCGGTAAACAATAAACTACTCAGCTAACGTTGGGCAGGACACCCTGTGTGTATATAGTGGCCCTCATTTCCAGTGGCAGTCTGGACTGCTGTAGTATTTGATAGTTTAGCATAAAAATTTAGTCTCTTGACAACATAATGTGATTTGTTGTACATTAAGCAAACTTGGTGTGACGTATATTCAGGTGTTCAAGATCAGAGTGGAGCATGTTGAAACGGGCCGCTACTGGTTTGTCTTCAGGCGGTACACTGATTTTGCAAGGCTGAGCAAAAAGGTGAGCTGCTGGGCCAGTATGGGTCAAGTTTTTTTTGCAAGACACAGAAATCATTGTAATACTGTATAGATGACTGCAAATGATATGGGCTTGTGTGCATTTCAAATGCATGTTGTCACGCATATTGCACTTGTTCAACTTTTTTTATTACAACATACTGTTTGTCAGCTGGTTCAAAACCATTGTACAAATTACCAGACTTGTCAAGCTGCATAGAAAAATTTTTCTATAGATTTTGGTGGCCTCAGTATTACCATTGATTGATGTTGAATTCCAATGGCAGAGTCAGAGGAGCCGATGGACTCCATGAGCGAGCACTCGACTCTGGCGCAGAGCAGTGCCTCCACATCTGCAATGGGAACACGAGGGCAGCCGGAGCAAGGCTGGAGTGAAAGGTCTATTTTTCGAGTGACGAGTTGCCCAGAGTCCCTCGTGTATAGTTGTTTTATTCTGCTCTTGAATCCTGTCGAATTCCCGCTTCTCTGGGCAGTTTCTACATCGCTGTCTTTATCCGATAAATTACTGAGGCAGGAACTGAATCTTTCTGACTTGTAGCGGAAGCAATGCTGCACTATTTGCCAACTCATCCTTGTCGTCCATCATTACCCCCAAAGCAAGTGACTATTTGGCAGCACAATCAAACTGGCAAATGTGTTAAAGGATATACATCACTTTCTGACTTCAAGTAGCGGAAGGAATGCCGCACAGTTTGCCAATTCATCCATGTCGTTTGTCATTATCACCAAAGCGAGTAACTACCGGCAGCACCACCAAGCAGACAAAGGTGTTAAAGGATGTACTTCACTTTCTGACTTTATCTTAATCAAGTAGCAGAAGTAATGCCGCTCAATTTGAGAATTCATTCATGTCGTCCCTCATTACCACCAAAGCAAGTAACTACCGGCAGCAGCACCAAGGTGGCAAAGGTGTTAAAGGATGTACATCACTTTCTGAATTGATCGTAATCAAGTAGCAGAAGCAATGCCACACAATTTGCCAATTCATCCATGTCGTCCGTCATTACCACCAAAGCAACTAACTACTGGTAGCACCGCCAAGCAGGCGAAGGTGTTAAAGGATGTACATCACGCCGAGTTGACGTCTACTTCGCCGATTTTAGCTGAGCAACATTTCCTGTTCCATGGAATAACTCCCACTCTCAATCCATCCCGACTTTCCCTTTGAAACGCTCGACTCCCATCCTCACTCTGTCATTGGAGCACACTTGCCCCAAAACGAGCAGATAAGCTTGTTCTGGCTCTGCCTTTCAACATGATTTTATATGTGGGGTCCCAAAACTACCATATAATTATGAGAGGCGCCGTAGTGGAGGGCTCCAGAAATTTTGACCCCCTGGCTTTCTTTAGTGTACCCAAATCTGAGCACACAGGCCTACAGCATTTTCGTCTTCATCGAAAATGCAGCTGCGGCAGCCGGGATTCGATCCTGAGATGTGCCGGTCAGTAGCCTAGTACCTTAGCCACTAGATCACCGCGGCGGGGGTTCCTTTCAACATCAAACATTATTGCTTCATGATGCAAGACATACAAGTGCTTCACAACCAGACCTTGTCACTCAGGGCGCATCTTTGAAACATTTTTAAAAAGCTTATTCCAGAACCAATTGTTAGCGGCTGTACAGGCTTCCTCTAGTTAGTTTTTGTGTTCTCTTCATTGGTAATTTGCATTGCAATATAGCAGAAATTGAACAGCTGTTGTCACTCAAAATGCATTCATAGTGGAATAAGTAATCAACTAATTGCTTACATTTATTTGTAGCCATGCAAAGTAAGTGTACAAAAACACAAGACCAAATAAATAAAGTATTAATTAGTATTAGAAATAGTTATGAGGTACTATGCACACTTGGCACTTTGGTCCAGTGTATAAAGTTAAGTTTGCATTAAGTTTCCCACGCGTATATTGGAATTTTCTGTCATGAAACTAAAGGTATTGGGAACAACACTGGGATTTGAGGATTCAAAGGCCAATTCTTACAAGGTTTAGGATATATGAAAAGCTGATCTTTCTTGCAGAACCCTGCTATTGAAGTGCGACTAGTTATGAGATGGAAAGCTTCTTTAAATGTGTGTTTATTCAGCCAGATCTAAAAAAATAAAATACCATTACCGCTCACTGAAGTCTTTGCTGCAGTGGCTCATGGAAAATACTGGTAAATTTTTCTCATTTAGGGAGAGCAGTCATGATACAGCTTGAGCTACAGGACATAGATGACTTGGTGGTTATTACATTTCATTTTAAGATAGTGATGTGAATGGTTCAAAAAGTTGGTTGATGGGAGGTACTTCAGAATATGGCATCATTCATCTTACTTTGGAGGAAGCCTCGAAGCGAGCGTGGATGTGGGGTGCAATATGTGGTGCAGCCACATCAGAGTTTGCGGCACTAAAATGGTAGTTGAATTAAGCGTATTATGCAGTGTTTTTCGTGGTTCTCGTCATGTGAAGTGAAGCAGCAGGCCAGCTGGTGACATCGTTCTTCCATGTTAGTGGCACCCAAGATTGGCAGGCACGGGAATAGGGCTGGTAGGCAGGGCAGAATAGTATCAGTTGTGTGGAAATAATCATGGCTTCAAAGCAGGCAGAATGGCAAGAAACTGGGAGTGGCGAAAGTAATAGTATACATGAGTTGCATAAGCGACATAAGGCACAGGGGAAAGAACTAAGTTACAGTTGGAGTGATTGGATGTTATCAAGGGTGCAAATGAAGTGTAATGTGACACCATTGACCTGCGAGCAGTGTCAGATGTGTACAAATGATGATGGCCATCTAGAAAGGGAGAAATGCAAGAAATCGGCCGTTGCTTGTGCACTAATAGTATAGACAGCTGGCTAGGTGTCATTGGGACAGATGGAATATCTGAATGACAATTTTAGTGATGGGTGTCATCAAGGGTGTGGTTGAAGCATCACATGGCACCACTGGTCTGCAGTTGGTAAGCAGTGCGCATTCATTAAGCAAGTAGTTTTTCAAAATATTTCAAATAAATTATTCCCTCGGTAGCCTAAAAGTTCTCACAATACATCAAAGACTGTGCAGTATGGATGTGATGACATTCTCCACTGTAGCACTCTGGAAAGTGTGTCAACACATACCAACACATATCCTGTTTTTTTTTCTATTGCAGTTGGTATTCCAGGTTACACGTTTCATGGCTGAAAACTTTGTTTGCTCTAGTACATGACTGTTGCTTATGTGGCTAAACTTTTGTAGCGCTCGATCGCAGTTTCAGAGCACGGAGAAAGGCAGGACCAGGGTATTCCAGGTTACACGTTTCATGGCTGAAAACTTTGTTTGCTCTAGTACATGACTGTTGCTTATGTGGCTAAACTTTTGTAGCGCTCGATCGCAGTTTCAGAGCACAGAGAAAGGCAGGACCAGGCTGTTTTTTTTTCCTCTTATTTTTTCTTTTCGTAAATGCAGCTGGCCATGTAAACACTCTAAACATGGACACACCTTGCCACACATGGCCACTTGTGCACATAAGTGCTGCATTAACTGTGCCAGAGAACTCGCACAAACGGCATGGCAGTTAAAACAATCTCATGGCTTATATGTTTAAATGAAGCCAAGTTGATGTCAATGTCGCTAGGGGCTGAGTTTTGCACCCACTCGCATAGCATACACTTCAAAATTGATTTTAGATATGTTCGAAGCTGTGCTTGCTTTTAATATATGGGAAATTATGTGTGTTCCCATAAATATCCCCCATGTCACCTTATCATCAAAATTTTGTGCCAGTATTCCCTAAAGTTGCGGTGGCAACTATAATCCACCTGTTGCCAGTACAAGTCATATTGCTTAATGGCAGTGATCCATGGGTTAGGATGGGCATGACAGATGTCGGAGTTCACCAGCTTTTAAAGGTACAAGGGATATTTTCAGATCTCACAGGGGGTTCCAAAAAAAAGGCATGCATTCAGTGCCAATAGAAATAGTGTCATTACCATTTGTATGTCTTGAAAATGCTGTTGTGGCCATACTGAGGGTTGGCTTGCTTGAAGGACAGCATCCAGAAACAGGGTTCCAGTGGGCTAGAGTTGAAGGGTATCTAGCATTCGTGCCAGAAAGTAAGGAGGTTCATTTAATCAATAGCAGATGGCACGTAGAGCGACTCACCAAAAATTGTCTCCAAGCTCATAGCTCTGCTGCACACTGTCGGTGCTGCTTCATCTGTGCAGACATTCTTCATTTTCATTACAGCGCATACTATGTATTCATTTATGACAAGCTGATATAGTCTGTCTCACTATTGGTAGCCAAGACTATGGTAAGAAATAGTTCTGATTATAAACTTTTGTATTGAGTACTTGTTGTATAGCCATTCATGCTTACAGTGTAATCTCGTGTAACATTATTGTGACTTGAGTCATTGTCTTCGTGTTTTTTGTTGTGCTGGATGTTGAGCTTTTTCTTTTTCTTGCTTATGAATATAAGTTTTGGAGTTGTCTCTTATTTGTGAGAAATGAAATTATAACTATACACAGTACTTAACAGGATACAAAAATTAGAACTCTGTTTTATGTCAATAGTTTATTTTCATAGTAGAATTCAAGCATTTAACATTCAACCACTCATTTACAGCTCTTAAAAGGTATGAAATATCTCATCGTTACTGCTTTCAGTCAGTGTCACATATGTCCTGTCTTAAATTGGGACAGAATTTGCCAATCTTTTTTTTTTTTTTTTTCTAAAAGCTTCACCGAGTGTCCTAACAGTTCCAGTTTTTCATTACTACTATCTCTCTCTCTCTTTCAAAGAGAGTGAGAGAGAGAAAACTAGTACCTATAAGACAGCATATAGCTTTAATTCTTTTTTGTGTATTGAATAAGAACACAAAAAGTTGTTGTGGAGCAGTATCCCATTATTTTGTCTTGGCATTTCTTTTTTGTCTAGTCCATGGCATGATGTATTCATATGCTAATGGGTGCCACGTGTCATTGTTTGTGCAGCCCAAAGGTAGCACACCGAGCCAGTGCCCCCTGCCCCCTGCATTCGACCCGTGCTGGCTTGTGCAGTTTCACTTAAGATCAATGAGAAGCCCCCCCCCCCCCCCCCCCCCCCCCCCCAAAAAAAAAAAATCTGCCTACGTCCCTGCCACTAGTTCATGCTCATCAAGCACTGTGAAAGCCTGCATCTGTTCTCACATTATGCTGTGTACTGATGCCAACACTAGCTACAAATGCTTTGCTGACCTAAGTAGTGTTCATGTGCCACAGAAAGGAAATATCTTTGGCAGGACTATAGATCCGAATGCAATGGCCTACAGTCACAATGAAGCCCTGTCTTACTTGGTGTGCACTGGGCAGTCATGAGCAAGAGTCCACCTAACAAAAGTTGACCAAGGGGTCTCGACAGTTGGTATGGTGGCGCTCGGACGATGTCGCAACAGATTCACGGTCGCTACTGGCAGTGCCGATCGAGCAAGAATATGCAGTAAATAGCACTAAAAAAAGTAAGAGCGTCTGCTTACCTCACACGTTACATCACCCTTACCAACGCTCTCATCGCTGGTACTCATGAGCCTTCCACGCAATTCCATATAATTTTATTTTTTGGCAGCAACGCTGGCACAGCTGCCAAACGGTAAGCACCAGGTTGGAAGTGCACTTGTACCTAATGAACCAGTTGGTGCCTGGCAGCAGCAATTCTCTGCCTCCCACAGCAGCGGCGGATGCTCAACTATTTCACCAATGCTGTGGTGGGTTAAGGTATGCCCAGGGGCCTTGGGCTACCTTTCAAGATGCGTACCCAGAAATAACCGAGCGTCAGGTCGGTGTACTCCTCTACCCATTGGGAAAAACCGGTGGGTTCCATCCAGGCCGGCACTGGGAATTGAATCCAGCATCTCCTGCATTGGAAGCTTCGGCAGAGAATTGCTGCCGCCAGGCACCCACTGGCTGAATAGGTGCAAGTACACTTCTGCCCTGGTGCTCGGCAGAATGAAGTTTATAGTCGCTCAGGAGGGCACCCACCTCGTGGAAAATTGGTGGAATAGGACCACCAGGCTTAAAAAATTAAGGTCATACTTTTTTTTTTGAAGTGATTTGAGTTCACTTATGATGTATGTTTACGGGGTCTCCACATATAAGATGCATACTCGAGCATAGACCTGACAAATGATTTGTATGCAAGAATCTTCACATGAGGCAAGGTATGATGTAAGTGATGTCTGAGAAATCTGATCGAACTGATTAGCAGCTCACCGCACCGCAAACGGCGTCACTTGTTCAGTGAAAACTGCAGTGCACTAGGCCCATAGTCTGATACCACGCCATCCACATGGTAGGCAGTAGCAGTTACAAGATTATGGAATAGTAGTAATATCTGCTGAAGGGGAGAGGTTCTGGTGTAAGAATGAAAGCAGTGTAGCAGCATTTAAGATGCCTGAACTCACTGTCTGCCACAGGTGCAACCCACAATGCTAAGCTTTTTTTCATGGTTAGCAGATGTAATTTATTTAGAGTGTGTGCAGACTCATTTGGTCAAGATGAAAAAGAAGTCTCATGTTGACAGGGCATTTCAGATACTGCATTGTGCTTCCTCAGGCACAAATGTAGTCATCTATGGACAATGTGCACTTGTGCAGGTGCACTGCTTAGCTGACACCTGCTGTAGCTTCTACTTTACTGCCAACAAAATGTTCAACAGCAAAGTAGTAAGGAGACGTTGATATAGCAAGCCATTGTAATATCTTCATCTGATAGCATGGGAGTAGCATCTTAAAAATTGATAATAAAAGGAAAAAAAATTGTGGGGATACAATTTATAGAAGCATATTAATTTATAATTTATAATATAATGGTAGTAATAAATAATGCAATATTTCTTTGTTCTAATATTTTTTGCCTAATTGACATAACATGTTCTTTTGGAAGGTAAAACTTGCTTTTCTTTTATGTTGATTTAGGCTGCACTGTACATCAATTTTTATATATGTTTTTTTTTCTTGCAAAGCTCAAACCACGATTCCCTGGTCTGCAACTCTGCTTGCCTCCCAAGCGGTGGTTTGGAAACAATTTTGATCCCATGTTTCTTGAGGACCGTGTACTGGGTCTACAGGCATTTGTCAAAAACATTATGGGCCACAGAGATATAAGCAAGAGGTAAGTAAACTGCTGTATCTTTGGTTATTGTCATGCAAAATGTGGGAATAGTCATTTACTGTACATAATTGGCTCTGGCATGAAAAGGTAATGAAAATCAACTTTCCATAGAGCTTCTGTTGCACTGTACTTGATATTTGAATGATCTGCAATAACTGTCCTAGCTTAATTAGAAGGTGACATTTCTCATTTGCATCGTGCTATACAGAATTTTGTGCGTGATAGATGGAATGGATTTCACCTCGCATTATTTCCTTAAAGACCCCTAATAGGAGTATTTCATAAGGGGTGGTGGTAAGTAAACTACACAAGTGTTTTAATAGCTTCAGCAAACATAGATGAGTTAATGATGGTACAGATGGTGTAAAGAAGGTCATTCCAGTCTTTTGCTGCTTGTATGAAAAATGAGGCTTGGAATCCAGTGGTTTGCGTATGGGGTATTGCGACTTGAAGTAGGTGACCAGTGCAATAAGATATGTGTGAAGGGGGCGTGATGTATGGTCGATGATTTAGGGAACTGAAATAAGACATACAAAAAAGACAGAGGGTGGCATACTGTCGGCGGGAAGCAAGAGTTTCTGAAGCTGTTTCGGCCTTCAGAGATGAGATGCTGATATTGTATGAATATGTAGAATGAATGAACCTGGTAGCCCGAATTTGAAGTGATTCGAGTTTAATTATGATGGATATTTGAGGGGGGCTCCACATGGAAGATGCATACTCGAGCTTAAACCTAACAAAGGATTTATATGCAAGCATTTTGACATGAGGCAGAGTATGGTGCAAGTGACGTCCGAGAAATCAAAGTCATTTATTAGCAGCTGAAATTATGTTAGTAGTGTAAATACGCCAGGACATGTCATGAGCCAAATTGACATCGAGGTATTTGAAGGATTGAACGGATTTTATAGAAACATTAGTGATAGAATAAGTAAACTTCAAAGAGTTATGGTGGCGAGAAAAAGAAACAAGTTTTTATTTATTTGGATTTAGGGTCATTTAGACAACGATTACACCGTGTTTATGTGTTATCAAGGTCATGCTGAACTAGTGTTTGGTCCTGATTGTTAGTTACTGATCAGTAGGTTATGCAGTCATCTGCTAACATACGAAAGTTACCCGATAGATGCAATGGTAGATCGTTAATATAAAAATTAACAAGAGCAGATGTCCTAGGACAGATGCTTGTGGAACACCTGAAGGTATAGGTAGTTGGTTAGATGAGCGATTATTAACAATTACGAATTGGGAGCAATTAGTCAGGAAAGTATTTATCCATGCAAATAGATCATCATCATGAGCCTGACTGCGCTCACTGCAGTGCTAAGGCCTCTCTTACGATCTACCAATCAACCCGGTCTTGTGCTTTCGGTTACCAAGTCATACCTGGGAACTTTTTAATCTTATCGGCCCACCAAACTTTGTCTCCCCTTCGTTCGTTTGCCTTCTCTGGGAATCCAGTCCATTATTCTTAATGTCTAGCGGTTATCCTGCATACCGTAATTACTCGAATCTAACGCGCACCTTTTTTCCGGTTAAGCGAGTTCATAAATCGCATGCGCGCTAGAATCAAGTACGAACAAAAAAATTACAGTCAATCTATTGCCATCGGCAAATCCAAAATGGCCGCCCCCTACGTGCGTCGGCATGGCGCGTCGACCATTTCTGCCTATGTGTTTCCCATGTGCGGCACTTCGTACGTGTGCTGAGGAGTTCGTCATCTAGTAGTGCATTAGCATCGACGGCGTGGAAGGGCCGACTCCAAAAACTCGAATGCACCACGATGCCGCTTTTAAAAGAAAAGTCATCGCGTGTGCAGAAACGGACGGAAATCGAGCTGCATCGCGGTCGTTCGGAGTTCCCGAAACGTGTGTGCGGGACCGGCGGAAACAAAAGCAGAAGATTGTCGACAGCAAAGCTTCACGCAAAGGCTTCAGTGGACCACAGCAGGGTCGCTTTCCGCAAATTAAAGAGCTGCGCGGCGAGTATGTGCTTGAGCAGCGAGCGGCACAGCGGTCCGTGACGACAGAACTGCTCCAAGTGCGGGCTATGCAATTAGTCTTAGAAAAAGGTCTAATGCGGAGCCAGTTTAAAGCGAGCAAGTGCTGGCTAACTAACTTTATCAAGAGGAAAGGCTTTTCTCTCCAAAGGAGAACATGCATATGCGCAAAGTTTTGCGGAGGAGTACGATGAAAAGCTTCACAGTTTTCAGAGGTTCGTCCTAAACTTGCGGCGGAACAACGGCTACCTGCTTGGGCAAATAGGGAATGCCGATCAGACGCCTCTTTACTTCGACATGCCTGGCGCCACAACCGTCGAGAAGAAGGGGGCGAAGCAAGTTCGCGTGCTGGCATCGGTCCACGGTAAAACTACAGTGACGGCAATGCTCTGTTACACGTCAGATGGGCACAAGCTTCGCCCGTACCTCATATTTAAATGGAAGACTCTCCCGAAAGGAGTCGTTTTTTCGAGTGGTGTGATCGTGCGGGCCAACGAGAAAAATTGGTGCGCGTTGCAATCGATGTCTTAAGTTTTTTTTTTTTTTTTTTTTTTTTTGCGGTGGAAATCGGGTGCGCGTTACAATCGAGGGCGCGGTAGAATCGAGTAAATACGGTACTTGCTACCAGCCCGGCCCATTTCTTCTTCTTGATTCGAACTATGATATCCTTATCCCCGGTTTGTTTCCTGATCCACTCTGCTCTCTTCTTGTCTCTTAAGGTTATATCTATCATTTTTTTTTCTTTTGCTCGCTGTGCCCCGCCATGGTGGTCTAGTGGCTAAGGTACTCGGCTGCGGCAGCTGCATTTTCAAAGGAGGCGAAAATGCTGTAGGCTCGTGTGCTCAGATTTTGGTGCACGTTGAAGAACCCAAGGTGGTCGATATTTCCGGAGTCCTCCACTGTGGCGTCTGTCATAATCATACGGTGGTTTTAGGACATTAAACCCCACATATTAATCAATTCATTGCTCGCTGCATCATCCTCAATTTAAGCTGAACCCTCTTTGTAAGCCTCCAGGTTTCAACTTCGTAGGTAGATACTGGCAAGATGCAGCTGTTATATACCTCCCCCTGGAGGGTTAGTGGCAGATTACCATTCATGATTTGAGAATGCTTGCTGAATGTGATTCACCCCATCTTTATTCTTCTACAGTGGAATCTTATTAATTCAAACACGCCTAATTCTAACTTCTGGTTCATTCGAATTCACCATGAGGTCCTGTTAAAGCTATGTGTATTCCAGTGGGCGAAAACGTCCGGTAATTCTTACGCGCAAGCACTTGCGACAGTTAATTCGAACATACCGCGCTTCGAAAATGCTCTCAGCACCCCGCCCAATCCCGCCGCGGCACCTCAGACACCTCAACGCTGCGTGCGAAGGAAAAGAAAAGGAAAGAAAAGGCTGCGGTGGAATGTTTGCTCTCTCAAATGCCGATCTGCGATGTACCTGTGCCACACTTCTTTCTTTTCCGCTCCTGCCACTTAAAGACCCTTCTCCTTTCATGCCGCACGCAGAGAGAGAGAGAAAAAAAAAGAAAGCTGTTGCTGAGTGTGGATTTCTCTCACATGCCAGTACCACGCGTCCCCCTATTTCGTCTCTGTCACGTAATCCTTCTCCTTTCAATGACGCGCGTGAAGAGAGCACAAAAAAAAAAAAAGCGATCGTGGAGTGTTCCTTCTCCCTCAAATGCCGATATACTTCTCTCTGCTTTGAGACGCTCCTCCTTTCTCCTCACGTGCTGGCCACGCTGCGGCTTTGGCGCAGAGGGTAGTAGCGGAGATGCAGTCGTTGTTGTGGTCGTCTTTAGAGAGTGTCGGCGCTGGACATTGCCGGGCACAACTTCTCTTGCCAGGAGAATGCTGAAGCCGAAGTAGACGTGCTTTGCAAGCTACATGCGAAATTAATTGACTCGCTGCAAGGCAAACGTGTGCAGATGCACATTACCAATTACTTCAATTAATGATGGATGTCCTGTGATTTGTGAATAAATGTAAGTCTTCTGAAACGTCCCCCTCATGTGCTAACTCCGTTTAGTGCTTTGAATCTATTCTGAAGCGAAACTCTGAATTCCTGTACTTTCCTTCTCACTGCTAGTTCATTAATTGGCTTCTTGCATATCAGTTTTTATTTTTGCTTTTTAAATCTAGGGGAATACCAGCTCTTACCATTCTATGGTTACTGTATGGGATCATGCCAACTACAGTCGATCCCGCACATATCGAACTCGAAGAAAATCGTGAAATGGTTCGATATATCGATAATTCAAAATATAAAATATGTGTTACTTAATGCTAAATTAGAGCATTTTAGGCATTGGAAATCGTTGCAAGCTCTAACATAATCATTCACTCACAGTATAATGAAGAAGAAGGTGTGAACTGCAAGTTATCGCACTTTATTTAGCATGAAAACAGTCCGTAAACTTGTCTTGCTTCTTGCGTGCCGTCAAATTTCAGTCGTCCTCAATATCATTGAAGCTGTTCAAGTAAGTGAAGTCGGCTCCTTCGGCCACAACAGCGTTAATTGACGCAGAAAGCCGATGCAAGCTTTGTAGTGTGGCAAAAGGTTGGTTAACGATGGCAGGGAAGTCATTGGCATATCCATTATCGCACTGGTACAATTTCGTGGCACCGGCAATGGAAGCCATGATCTCTGCATCCGTGCGATCAGAAACAGCTACGTCATCATCTGTACCGATGAAATCACGCACTATCCAAGATGTTGCCCGGAAACAGTAATAAGTCACAGAATTCACTGAAGGACCGTTTGTCGTTGTCAGCGGTCATGACGCACCTAAAGTTGTCACCTGGCCTGCAAAGAAAGTTTAAAGGGGTGCTTTACTTGACATCGCTTCAAGTGCCAGTCATAATTTTTTTCGCTATGTGAGGGTCGAACTTCAGTTCAACTCCCAAATGAGGATTTATCAGAATCGAGGCGAGAAATATGGCCCTCAAAGCGCAAAAGAAAACACAAGAGTTCCGTGTTGAGTTCTTACCGTCGA